GCGTTTTTTTAAAATCGGTCAAATTGAGCCGTTTAACAACACTAATTCTTAGGTTCCTCTTAAAAATCAATGTTTGTCTTGGTAAGCTGCTCATAGACATCTATTACCAAAATCTCGAGGTTTAGGCAATCCTACTAAGTGCCATATTCCTCGAGGGGGGGGGGGGTACCAATTATTAAAACATGTCTGCCCTCTCTATTTTATTTAAAAAATTAGCTAGTGATGGATGAACCAGTTATTGATAATATTTAATAATTAACAACACTTACGTTTAAAAAAGTTATAACTTTATCCAAGAAAAAATGATATAACCAGTCACATTGACGTGACAACCACTCACATCACAAATCGCGGCTAAAACTGGTGTTATCGATTATCGAGACCTCAACTCTTTTAGAGATAATTAATTTCTAAAAGTGGGCTTCGATTTTTAGGCGATATAACTCTGTAACTCCTAACAAATCGACCCCCGAGAATTATAACATTCTATGTACTTTTAATTTTATAGGCGAGCATTTTTAAAGAAAAATTAAGTTTCTTTCGTTTTTCCTTAGGATAGTTAACCTTGTATAGGATTTTTTTTTTAAAAAATTGAATTCTGTAAAATGGTCATTTTTTTCCAAAAAGTGGAATAAAATTTTTTTTTGTTAATCCTAAATTTACACAAAAATAAATAAACAGAATACACACGGGGTAGGTCATCACACCTCTCTCTTCCTCTTCAGATAAGTTCATTTTTTGGGGGGAAAATATCGATTCCTTGTGGATCAAAATTATCTCGATAATTATTTATTATAATTAATATTATAATGGCAACATATTATTAGATTAATATTATGTTTCTCATTTAATTAAAATGTAATTTACGCTTAATATGTACGCCACCTGTGCCGTGGTGATTTCCGTATTACGCCAAAACAAAATTTAATGCGGAAAAATATAATCTCATTTTTTTTTCAAATTAACTTACCTAAATAAAAAAAAATGTAATAACTATAGATGGAGTTAAAAATTTATTTTATTTATATTAATTCCCTCTAGATAAGTAAATAAAAAATAATTTTTTGGAAGAAGGACCTTTTTTTATTCTTACATTTTTTTTTCTTCCTTTGCTCTACTCATTACTAACATATACAAATAGCTCGGGTGTAGTCCCACCCTATTTTTACTTCATATCTGAGTTACAAGGTTTGTTGGTATCCTTGAGTAAAGGGCCTCATAATTCGCTACACATTTGGGCAGGTCTATGACCAACGTGCCTATTAAAGATTAAAGAATCCCGCTAGATGGGGTAATATTTGGTTATTAGTTTTATTCGCGATTCATTTCGATACTAAAATGCGACATTTTTTTTTATTTTATTGAATGACGTCATCCCTTCCAAATCGTGTTATTTATAATCCCTTTTTATTATTACCTTGCAAAATTTCAAAAATTATAATTTTTGAATAATCAATTAAAGGATTAATTTTGTTGTTTAATTATTTTTTTTTATAAAGAAATGTGGGAGATAAATAATCCTCTTATAGACAATATTTCCACGTTTTATAAAGTTCATTTCGATTATTGAAAATTCCCATAAATCTATCGTCGCTCTAGTAGTGCAGGTGATGGAACCGATTTTTAAAAAACTTTGCGATTTGACCGAGTTTTGTAAATTGGTTTTTCGGGCCGGTTTTTTTATTTTTTTTTGTTAGTGCGGAAGTAGTTGGATTCTAGGATGACCTTAATTATATGTGAAATTAACGTATATCGATCCTATCCGAGAGAACCGAATACCTATTTTTGAAAACGCTGGTCTGGTCCGATCTTTGCGAATTGGTTTTTGTTCTATGGTTTGACCCGGTTTCGGTCATGTGACTTTCGATACTTTGTGAGTGCTAGATTTTACGTATCAGAAAATATTTGAAAAAACTCCGGGAGGGCAAATATATCTCGTAAATCTATGGACCCTCCATTTTTTTAAAAAAGGGATTTTTGGGTTCTATAATGGACTCAAAAATTCTTATGCTTTTTTAAAAATTATTCGTATTCGATTCCAATATTCGAATCGGATAATTGTGATATTCGTAAACTGCTTATCGAATAACGAATAATTCATTGTAGCTATGATCCTACCGTGCCCTATAAAGTTCACAGCCCTAGAAACTTGAAAAAATAAATAAAATGTATAATCATCGCTATAAAATTGGATTACTCTACTTTTATAATACATTCTTTTTTTAAAATACGATCTGCTACCATTCCAATGTCAAGTGAAAGAAAAACGAAATACCTCTATAAAAAATTGCACTCATCAAAATTTTTTATGGGAAGTTGAGTTGAGCCACTGTTTTCCTGTAACGATTCTAATAATCTCTTATAATAAATAATTTTGAAATAATGCGTTCAAGAATATGAGAAGCCTCCATATTTTTTATAAAAACAAATTATATATTTTTTGTCAATGAACCTTATATTTTTTTTTTTTAAATTAAATTCTTTATTACTTGCTTTACAAGTTACAATGTTACATTATACAAATTACATTTTTTTTTATACCATGGGAATTAGATGTGTTTTTTTTATCTTCTTCTCTCTCTCCATGCTATTATTTTTTGTTATAAATAATAACATAAATAACTATCATATTTTATTTAGTGTAATTATTATAATTAATTATACACATTTTTTCTTCCTCTTTTCATTTCTTTTCTCTTCTTATTCTCTCCAAACCAAAGACCCCAGCCTTGCCTTATTCCATTTTCACTCTCGCAAAAAAAAACAAACTATTACAAGCGAAACATGAAAATTAATCTTGCCCTTAATATCTTGTTTTTAACATTCATAAATTTCTTATTTTTTTTTTTTCATTATCAATTTTCATTTTTTTTTATCTCATTAAAAACATCGCTCTAATCTATTCATCTATCTTTTGAATAATATAATAAAAAAAAATATTGAATCCTTGGAATGGAGAAATCTTGGATTGAATTTGGAACGGCACAACTCAAAAAGGAATTATTTTATTATTCCCCCCCCCCTTCTTATAAACTTTACCCCAAATAAAATGACACAAAATTTTAATAATTACTTTAAAAAAATATATTAAAAAAATCTATATTCTATATCGATGTTTACGAATTATTGACGTGATTACAAACAACCATTTGTGATATCGATTTGGGTTAATGCAATTTAAACCTAAAGATTTTTACTTTTGAGAGAGAGTTATAATAAGTAAGTGAATGATAAATCTTTTCTTCCATCCCCTCCTAGTTGTTATTGGCTCTATTTATCCAATTTTAAAATTAAGATTTTTAGCCAAAGTTACGTAATTCTCAAGATTTCATTGGTAGCTGCCATCTTTGAGCGAAATCTTCAGGTTCGCGTAAATTTATTTTTATAGCTAAAATATTGGGTTGACGTTTTTTTTAAAAAAAAATTGATCTCTCTTTTTAGTATTTTTTTTGTCATCTGCCGAGTTTCGCGATCGCTAAATTTTTTTAGAGACATAAACCCACCCGCTTTCATAGTTAGCGTAAATTCGCGGGCGAAATATACAACATTTTTAACATTCATTTTTTATATACTTCGCCAAGAATTCGCGCTAATTATGAATGCAGGGTAACGCGGGAGAAGGTTTAGCCTCGATTTGGGCCGATTTTTAAAAGCGTCTAACTCAATATTTTATCCACGAAAAATATTACGCGGCACAAAGGTTTGGACAAATCGTGCCGTTTTGCAAAACACTAGGAAGATGAATCGAAAACTTCCTTATATTTACATTTTTTTTAAAAAAAAAATACCAATTATCAAAAATATTTTCTTTAATTATCATTTTTTGGGTTAATTATCGATTTCAATTTTCCTTTTTGTATTACTTTTCTTAATTCCTTTCTCATACATTTTTCCCTTCAAATAAATTATTTTTTTGCGAAATAGGGAAAATCTCATTTAAATACTAAAAAAAAATAGAGAGAGTGAAGAATAAGAAAAGTAGGCGACCGAACCTCCTTATTTTTTATACTTCATAATTTATATTTCACTTGTTTTTTGTTTTGATTTGCTTTGATTTATAAAATTAGATTTTTTTTCTTCTTTTCTTTTCGAATAAAGAAGAAGGATTTGGAGGAATTTCGAATTTTATCCCCTCACTCTTACTCGAGATTGTTTTTATTCGTTATTAATATATTTTCACGGATTTAAAAGTATCCCAGGTAATACCGATAATGAAAAAGTGGAACGGGGTGTGGGAAAGGACTTTAAAGAAGAGAATTCTTATTGGATTTGACAAAATTTTTTTTTGAGAATTGCTTTCAAAACAAGTTTTTTTCGAATTTTATATCAAAATTCAAAGTCCGTTTGCCCCTACTGTCCGCAAAAAAGCGTTACCTGGGGAATGAGTTTGACTGGACGTTGCATAGGATAGGTAAAGAATGAGGGCTACGCGGGCGTCGTTTTATTAGCCATAACTGGAGGAAGTCCTCCTATTTCTAAAATTTCTTTTAAAAAAATGGTATAATGGACGTATTTTATTTTCTAATGAAGGTCACTTAGGAAATGCGAGGAATTGACCATAAAATTCTCAGGATGACTATCTCCTCTTTTATGCTTATCAACTTTATTGGCTTTCAGGAAAAATAAAATAAATATTATAAATTATACGTTTAAAATATCTAACACTTTATATTTTTATAATAATTTATCCTTCAATAAAAATATAAAGCTTAAAAAGGGTTGGAAGATTTAAAACATTTAATTAAATATATTTTGACTTCTTCTTATAATAAGATTTGCTCTCGTAAATTTTAAGGTATTTTATATGTATGTATATATTTTTCTAAATCATTAAATATTTCGCGACAATTTACTTTATCTTAACCTAATTTTTATGTGATATTATATATGGATTGTTTAAATTATAAATCGGGCGCCATTTTATATACAATGCTTATATAAATGAAACTTTTATTATTGTACAAAAATTCAACCTATATTTTTATTATCATTATATCAAGACATACGATATCCGCTTCGTCAGCTGTCTGGGATTCGTTTCAACACATAGCGGACGCGACTACTAATACTCAGGGTATTTCCATTTATAATAATATAATAGCAAGAACTTTATGAAAAAAAAATTGAATTAATGAATGGGGAAGAATAAAAATAGTAACAGAATATCGGTTTAGATTACAAAGAATAATCGTGATTATAAAAAAATAATAATTAATGAAAAGAGGGAAAATAAAATAGGATAGATAGAATATGGGATATATTATTTAAAGGATGAGTGGGAATAAAATAAGAAACAGGTCGACTCAATAGAGAATACAAATTTAAGGTATTGCTTAAGTTTTTAAGTGAATAAAATTTTTTGCCTCATTTGGGTAAGAAGCAATCTCCCCTCTTATCAGTACAATCTAGAGGGGGTCGGGATATAGAATCAATGGCCAGGATATGATCATCTGAATTTAAAACATTTAACCATTTTAAAATTAAAATAGTTCTCAATTATACAGATCTTTTAGATATGTTAGGCTAAGTCCATATAAGAGCATTCTAAACTTTGAGAAACTGAGCTTTTGGTAGTTATAAATTATACAGGAAATTTTAAATATCATTATGCATCTATTACTATCCAATATGGAAATTATTCGGAATTAATACAAACTTGTTAAAGCAGACGATAAAATTTTTTTTTTTAATATCCAAATTTTTTTTGAAACGATATTTTACAACTTTGGATTTTTGACCTTCTATCTTTTATCATTATGCCTTCTAAACTCTCTAATATGGTCTTAGTCTTACCCCTCATTCATAGTTAGCCCTAATTATTACAAAATATGCTGCATTTTTTTATTCACCTCCGCTAATTCGTGCTAGTGAATGCAGGATTATACGGAATTCCTATCGTCACATCAATGACATATAATAATACCTAGACTGACGATGCTTATATATTAATGAAAACAGCTAGGGACGCCATTTTGGTTACCCATAACATTATTATAAATTTTAAACGAGAGGTCAATTTATTCCTATGCCTGACGCAAACTTTATTGAAGAATTGCCTAACATCGAGATAATAAGGAAGGAAGTTACCATATAGTAGTTTTTAACATGAGAATAAACTATATGGGTTACCAAAATGGCGGGTCCAGCTGATTTTCATTCAACGACGCTTTCAAATGAATTTATGAATGTATCGTCAGTCTATACATTAGTATACGTCATTGCGTCTCATTCATATACTTTTTTAAAATGACATATTTTTATTATATCATGACTAGGATCGACGTACGATGTAGGCGCTTCCTTGACTAGAATTTGTTTGAAGCACAGGTGCCTGGACGAAAAGCTCAAACTTTTTTCGGAGTAAACAACAACAATCGAATATTTAATTTTTTTAAAAAAAATAAGATTATATTATGTTGACCTTACAATTTATTCTTAATTGATCACAATATGAAAAAGGAAATGGTTGATATTGATAACCTTTATCTCTATCCATCTATCCATGATAAACATAGTGCTAGGTATTTAGAGACCAACGGGCGCTGACCGATTTAAGACCCATGGGTACCGGATTTTTAAATATTGTCTAGGTCTAATCTGTAGAATAGAATGAGAATTGGTAAGGGGAATAAAGTTGTTTTTTTTACTAGTGAACGAGATTCTGCCGGACCGGTTTAAACTGCTCCATAATACAAAATAAATTTCTAACAGGTGATCAAGCTCGACCCAGGCCCGTAAATTTTTCAAGACCCGCCCAAGCCCATGTTCAATATTTAAGTTAGCAACTGTTGTAAATAAGTTACATTTAAATAAAAAAGGGCCTATTGGTCGGGGGCTAAACCTGCCCGTGATTGTCTGATTCGGATCGAGTTTAGAAACCAAATGGAATCTAGTTAATTTTGTCGGCCAAATCGGTCTAATCCAACTAATTTTGTATGGAAATTTTTTTCAGGTTGTAAAGCTCTGAAGCCGCTTCTGGTTGACCGTCGCTAACTTTTACATATCCCGGTTGAGACCTTTAAAAAACGGGTGTTTAACCGACAAAATGTCTATTCTTTTGTTATTTCTTATTAAACTCTTTTTTTTTCAATTCGATTTCGGGTTGATCTATTGGTGGTGATCCGTCTCGGATCATTCACGAATGCTTGGATTGACATTTAATTTATTTTTTTTAATTTAAAAAAAACATCCTTTAAAGTGTCATTAATCAATCGCTCATATCCGATTATCACGAAACGTTGGAGGAATGGAGAAAAGCTAACAATCATTTAGAGAAGGAACACGAAAAAGGTCTTTATAAATTTAAATATACATACATGCTTAAACATTCTGGTATCACGTGATTTTCAATAGAAAATGGCGGCTCACATATTAATTTAGCCCTATGTGTATCGACTGACCTCAGCCCCACACAGATCCTTTACTCTTGTGCATGTTTTTTTAGAAGCATTCAGACATGTCCCTCAATAAAATATTTCTAGCTATGAAGGGCACATGTCACATATTTTTCTTTAAAATTCCTCTGTGGTATAGAAAGTTTATATAATGCATGAAATCGTAATCCATCAAGACTCAGAAACCTTGAAATCGCTAGACATTGACAAAAAGCGAACGTTTTAATATCAAAGGAACTCTATTTCCATTAAATGGAGGAAAGGTTCATATGGTTTAAATATCCGAACCAATGATATTCACACACACACACTAACCATCGACGATTCGCTTATTAAAAGAATACAAACATAAGAGTCTTTTAGAAGCCATTTTATAGTCTGCTGATAGACTAAATGTAATATTTTATAACCAAATATTGTAAATCGCCATTATCGGGGTCGGGTCTGAAAATATAAAACCAGGGCTGTATCGAAAAATTAAATCCGGGCAGGACCGTGCATATGGTACCTCTGCAGGCCTCTACTATATATCATTGATTCCGAACACGATACTAAGTATTTTCATGGAATATTTTCCTGGTGGATATGATCGGTGTCAGAATCTTAACCGGATGAGAATAGTTTTTTAAAAAAAAAAAAAAAGATTTAATATATTTTTAAGTCGAATGTCGTTAAAATTTTAAATGACGGGAAAAGAGGAGATACCTTTATATAACCGAAAGAGTATACCCGAAAATCAACGCTCGAAAAAAATGAGGAGAAACAACCGTTATAACTGGACACTGGAAAACCCGAAAAGCAACCGCTAAAAATCGGGAGAACTTTGTTAGCGCACGATTTGCTTATAATTACAACGTACTTATTAAACATTTTCGTTATTTTTATTCTCCCCCCACCTCCCAAATCATAGATTTTAAAAAGTACAAATGCGAAATCAAAAAGTTAAAGGCCGACATCAATAAATTGTCCAAAAAAATCCAAAAAGGTTTTTTTTTTATTATTAAAAAAATTCTTTTTTTATTCTATTACTGAATGCTTACTTTTATTTTTTTGACAAAGAATATATGTTTTCTTTGCTCTCTTTTAAATAAATCTTTTTTTAAAAAAATAAATGTTAAATTAAGAAAAGATAGTTGTTTAATATTTATCCCTGCATTCACCATTAGCGCGATTCGCACTAACTGTGTATGCAGGGTAACGCGGAGGACGGGAATAAATTCGCATATTTACGTAATTTTTCTTTCAATTTAAACAAAAAAATAAATTAAGAAGCCAGTAAACTCTAGGGGGGGGGGCAAGGTGGTTCAAGACGAGTTTTGTTTAATTATCTATTTTTTTCTATCAACCCCACAAAACAAAAGGGATAGAATTATTTTATCAATTTTAAAATATCCACGCGGGAAAAAACAAACAAAAAATAATTTAAAGATTTTGACCCGGGCTCCGACAATTCTCCGAAATCTTACCTCGAATGCAACGAAAAGATGGCTACCTCGACCGATTACCTGGCTCGCACTCTCAATATTCTGAGAGAAAACGAGAATAAGTATCTTAAGCTCGCCCTGTCCCAACAAAAAAACAGGATACAATGGTTCGTGGAAAAGGCCCTGAAACCTATCCTGGTTTTTTTTATTTTATTTATTTTCTTCTTGATATATTCATTACATATATTTGCATCCGAGAATATCCCTGTAGGGTGCGCTTATAAAAGTAGTATTATCAGAAATATTTAGGTTTTTTTTCGAACTCCCAACGATCAATTTTACAGGAAAACTATTAATTTATTTTTAAAAAAACGCCATGGCACCTGGTTTACCCACTTATAAGAGTTCGTTAAGGAATACATTTTTCGCGTTACGTTTAAAAACACTCAAGCAAGCGTTAAAAGATAGAAAACTAACTAGTATATTTAGTACGTAATTATTAATTTTTAAGCCGTGCATATACTTAATGAGATTTTATATTTTTATATCCAATTAATATTATTTTATTTTTTTAGTACACATAAATAAATTTAATGACCAGAAGTTTGAAAAAAAAGGCTTGTAAAAATAAATTTTTTTTTTTATTTATTCATAAAAAATTACAAAAATATTTGCTTTATAAAAAGTTTTTTTTTTACAATAAATATTTGGAATTTTCGGGGAAAATAATGTGATCAATAAACCTGTTTTTGAGTATTCTCAAAAAAAATCTTCATTTTAAATATAGTGTTGTGATGATTTAATGAAACATATTGACGATTCATTTAAACACATGCATATATAATTATAATCTTTACAAATGTACAACAAAAAAGAAATAATATAATTATATATGCATGTGTTTAAATTAAATCGTCAATATGTTTCATTAAATCATCACAACACTGTAACATATTAACTTACACCATCACGACGTAAGATAAATGCAAAAAAAAACATTTTCGAATGCTTGTACAAGAAAAAAAAGGATATATAATGCCTTTTTAACGCGACGTGAAAGAAGTAAGTGCGCGGAAGGTCTCTGACAGCCGTATTATGGTATTAACAAAATGATGATTTATTATTTATTTGACCCAATAAGAGATTCGGTTTTGAGTTTAAATAACTTTAACACCCTACGAATGATGAGTTATTTGTAGGGTTGACAACGATACCAATATATTATTGGTTTTCAATGCCTACACAATTCGAACCAATCAGTTGTGCCAATACGAAAATAAATCGATTCGATTCCAATAAGGTAAGTATATATTGGTTTTAAAGGCAATCTCTTTCATGATACCTAATATTATTCTAAAAATTAATTAATTACAAATTTTTTTTTTAGATTTAAAGATTAATTAATTTAAGCGATCACTTATCTAATCTACATTTATTATACTAGTTTAGCATCTGTGATTGCAATATTTTTTTAGCATTCATTCATTATCAATTATTTATTTGTATCGTGATTGCCAAAAAATATAGGGAATCAAAACTTAGATAATGCCGACTGGAAATTTTTCTAGTGTACACGGACAAATCATCCAACTTACACCCTTTTTTTGAAAATGAGAATGATTATTTTTAAAACGCGATCAAGAGTTTTTATAATAAGAATAATAAAAAATTATGATTTTTCTTCTGCGCTAAATTTGTAGGCATTTTAATTATGTTCAATGCCAATATAAATCAAAAAAAAAATACGATAAAATATAAGAAAAATATTGTGTAAAACCAATACATTAGTTTTGAGATCAATATAAAAAAGTATTTTATTCTATTATATTGGTATTGTAAGATAGCCTTAAGTATTTGTAGTTAACATTATAAATTTCTTTGTATTTTTCGGAAAATGAAATAAATTTTAAATCAAATACCGTTTACAAATCATGATAAAACCCTAACCTAAAAACTTTTTTTAAATTATAAATAGCGCGCCATATTAATGTTTTTTTTTAAATGTTAACCAATCGTAGGACAGCGAATGCGATCTCAGCGACGAATTGCTCAAAATAAAGGAATCGACGCTGGATTTGGTCAACCGATGCGGCAAAGATCAAACCGTATGCCGCGCCTGTCCTCCCAACCCCGTCAATACTTTTTGTTCGGACGAACGCGAACTTAGAAATAGAGTTTAAATTTTTTTTTTATAACGACCCACCCCCCCCCTCCCCCGCCTTTTTTATGTTGAAATTATTAATATATAAAAATGATTATTTGGACATTAATGACTTCTATAATTCTACGATGATATATTAATTGTCTACCGAAATCAATGACAGGTGGCACTTATCTAGATTCAAAATTCATTCGTTGAAATGCATTTAGCATCCTTAAAAAATCAGCTGTGGCACGCCATTTTGGTTTCCCTTATTACAATTTTTGTAATATTTAAGGTCTTCGTAGAATTTTTAAGGTAAATTATTTTATGCGGATAACCAAAATGGCGAATAACCAGCTGATTTGTAATTTATATACAAGATGGAACTAGAGCTGGGAAAAAGACAAAAATTCTAGAATGACGAATCGAATTATAATCGGCTACTGCACTTCAACAACCCTTTTGTCTAACATTTTTTTGTAAGTGCTTTCGGGAGCAACAGGACAGACATAACACCTAATTATAACGTTCTGGTTTCAGTTCGGAAAATTTTCTAAAAAAAGGGATTTCCGTTTCCTAATTTTGAAAAGCGGATTCTATTTCCGCTTTTTAGATTTGGCGCAGCCCTTCCCAAGGTTCCAGTTCCAAATTCTGTTAAAGTATTCAAAAAAAATGTAAAACTTTTGTTAGAACCTGTTTCCTAAAATTTTCAAATGTATTTAGTTCTACTCTGATTATAATAGAATCACCAAAATACCAATATTAGAAAAAATGTCCGACACATGGGTTTGTTGGTCAGCCGATGATGTGTATTGTATTCTTTGACGGTATTATTAATTTTTCAGCTAATGGAGGGATTAAAAATATTCCCTGTGGCCTAGGTTTAGAATATGACCACCCTCTCATCGACGGGGTGTAAAAGTCATCTAAAGGGGTTGATTTTAGAAAGAGCATCATATTATAACTGCTTCAAAATCCTAACGATTACAACATTTGTAAATAAGATTTGCCTTTAAAACCTCAGTATTAGCACTTGTTTTTAAAAAAAGATCTACGATCTTCTTTGATTCCTAAAATCCTTGGGAACTTAAAGGACTTATTTGTAAAAATAAATAACTTACGTGAATGGAATAAAAATTTGAAAGGTAGTGATATTTGATCGGATTTAGATTTTGGTTGGAGGAAAAACGAAAAGCATAAAATCCCAAATGAGATTTTTTTTCCATCTAAACCTAGGGTATATTAGTAAAACCTCCAGGACTTTTACCATTGGGCAAAGATTATGCGTCCATTACATAAATCAAATAATGTTGTTAAACGCGATTTAAGCCGATTTTTAAAAACGCTAACTCAATATTTTAGCCAGAAAAATATTGTCTAAAAAATATTATGGAAGCCTTACTATTTTTCTCATAGGTGGTCCAAAGGTTCGAACATCTATTAACGAAATCTCAATAAAATATTGAGTTCGTTTAACAACACTAAAATCAAATAATACAATTTTTGTTTAAAAATTAAACCTCAAAGACCCATCAAACAGACCCGAATGCCAAAATCAAATACCTGACTTACCACCCTTCCTCTTCCTCGTTCATTAACGATTACGGCAAGAGGTCTACCGTTTGCGTCGACATGACGATACCTAATAACAGTCGCCATCCCCCGATCGATAAAATCAATATGAACGGACACTCCCGCGAGGTCGGCGGCCACAATAGCGTGAGCAGTTACAAGAGCCTGATCTCGGAGAAATCGTCCTGTGAGAATAAGCCCCCTCCTTGCGTCAATATGGGCGGAGGCGACACCTCGTCCTATTCCTTGTCCCTGAAAAGTTTCAATTCTTCCTTAAAATCCATGTCTCTCTCCCAGTCCTCCGCGTGCAATAATACTCCCAATTTTAACAACCTCATTCATGATAACGTTTCTCAGAGTCATCGTCGAAATTACGCATACCGGGACACGGATACGATGGAAAAAAATGGCGACCAAAATATCGTGAACCATGGCGCGATGAACTGTCGGGATTCTCGAGAAAACCATGACCTTCCGCCCACTCAAAATAATCATCACATGGTTCAATATCAACCCAAAGACGTTGGATTTGATCAAAAAACAATTTTTAAAGAGGAAAATATGCTGTCTATAGGGCCTGATGCCTGTAATAACACGATAAATGGACCCTTTATTGAATGCCGACTTTCCTCGATATCCTCCAGGGATTCCGGATTCACGTCCCACGATCAAACCCATAATACCAACCAAAACGTCAATCCAAACAATTCGAATAAGGACCATCGTTCCGGCTCCTTGAATAATCATGATATCTCTATCGAAACAAACCTCGATTCCGGGAAGGTAAGCTTTAAACCTGTTCTGTCACCTTCTAAAATCGCGAATATAAATAACGGCGAAGTTCTACGCTGCGATAATGGTTGTCGAGAAAATGACCTTGGTGACGATGATATGACTAGAGGAAGCACGGATATGATCTATAAGAATGACGATTTCCCGCCTCCCCCACCCTTTGATCTTACCACTCCCACTTCTTTGTTGGTAAGCGGATTGTTGAATTCTCACGATAACATGAATCATCTCGCAAATAAACTCGGCAATAACGCGAACGGTTGTGCCTTCCACGGTCACTACCAGGATTTAATTGCGGAAGGTATCGATGCTAACATCGGGCGACATTACAGATTCGATGCGGATAACTTCAACCCCATCGGCTACATGATGGTGACAAATGGTCACGTTGTAGATACTACGAATCTCGTCGATGGCCTAAGTCATCCGAGAGCCGTATACCAAGACAAAGGAATGTTTCTAAAATCACCACCATCAGATGCGCACATTAATAACAGGTTTTATTTAAGATACATTTTTTTAAAATTATTATTCTAAGCATTTTTATAAAAGTAAATTAATTGCCCGCTATTCTTTGAAATTTTTTTTAAATACCAGTATCGCTCCCTGTTTCGCTAGTACTAGTTAACATTCGTATCACCTCAACGCCGCGGAAATTTTTCCGCGATATGTAGATTACCATGAAAACAATATCGCGGATGCATTACAGCGAATACATTAAAGAGAATATATTAGAGCAGAAACATTGTCGCTAATGCTACAATGATTTATTTTTATTTTGACAAAATGGTTTATATAATTATTATAATAAAGTATTAAAAATTCCTTTGCTACTTTGTTCATTTTTCCTACCTCCTTCCTTATAAATAGTGAAATTTTTCAATTAATTAAAATTTTTTTTTGAATATTTGGAAACTATAATATTGTTACCTTTTGGGTGTTCCCGGGTAGTGTTGCTAAACGGCTCGAATTGAGCCGATTTTTAAAAACGGCTAACTCCATATTTTAGCCAGAAAAATATTGCCTATGTTTTGTCGCTAATCGATATCCAAACCTTTGTGCCATCTATGAGCAAAATATTCAGGCTCGCATAATGTTTTACTAAATAATATATGAGTTAGCCGTTTTTAAATATCGGCTCAAATCGAGCCGTTTAACAACACTAGTTCCGGGTTCATAAATTTTTTTTCATCGGATTCCAATTTCTCTAGAGAAAGTTCTCTACTACTACTATATATTCTCTCATTTAGAAAGTTCATACCTTCTTTTCAAAAAAAAACTAGAGAACTCAGTCCTAATTGACGTTATTATGTTTATTTTTGGTTTATTTATATTTATACTTGGATTTACTTATAATGCATTGCGCGAGAATGACTTTTCGCGGTAAATGCATTTCGCGCCAAAAATTTTTTGCGATATAGTTATTTTAGTGTTGTTAATTGGTTGGTTATGTGAACCCCAGACCCGGGGTTTGGTTCTAAAAATCGACTAAACCATCTCCGAGCATAGACCCGGGTTTCAGACCCAACAGTCGTAATCCTATCTACGTACATTAGAAATAAAGGGCTCTGATTTTTCTTAAATTTAAAATTAGAGGAGTCAAGGTGTACCGTTACACATTGTTAGGTAACAGCTAGAAATGTGAGTCCGATCAGATCAATTCGATTCCTATATCAGGATATCGGCTGATTCGACTATATATTGGCAGTGTATCTATCAGCTGATTCAATTTTTTATACTAACATTATGATAAAAAAATGTCTATAAGGAAGAAGAATAGAATATTATGAACCAAAAGATAATACCAATAAAATAAATATGAATTTTTTTAAGGCAAATGAGTTATTCGAATTTCGAAAAGAATAGATAATTTTTATCCGCCATTTTGTATCGGCGTTGTATCCGATATTCTTAAAAAATACGAATGATCCAACCGGTGGGATCTTATATTAGAAGATGACACAATAGCTTGAATTTTTAGCCGATTCCAAAAGCGCTGAAACTTATTTTTATTAACTTATGCCTCAACCTCTATTCTTGAAAAGATAACTCAACATCTGAGAAGCGGGAATTAACTCTACACTTCATCTGATTATCTGCCCTTGTAAATTTAGCCGAATTTGCCGATTATCACTTGTTAGACCTTGCGACCATTGACATCTTTTTTAAATTCTGACCTCCACACCAGGTGGTTAGTGATCAATGGGATGTAAGGAATAATGATTTCAATTTTTTTTTAAAAAAACATTTTTAATCGAACATCAGATTTAGCTGGTGCGAAAACGGAAATGTTCATAACCACGAATCACGTCTAAATAGCACCATCATGAACTACCACGATAATAGCAATAATCGCCAACGTACTGTCGATCCCAATTCTAGTCCCCTACCTGCGGCGAATTTCGATCGCGACGTTAGCGAATGCAAGCGCTCCCAGAATACAAAGGAAATGGTTGGCAAACAGGTTACCAAGGTCCAAAGGAGGAATAGCACCAATTTAGGTCTCTACAAACTCGCTTCCGCCTCAACCAATCAAAGACGGTTTACCGCTACTAATAACGAGGAACAGCTGTCATCTGCCCAACACTCCATGATCAATCCTTCTAATATACCTAATTTTAATAGGGTGCCTCAAAATCAAAGTTTTTGTCTTCAATTAATTTTTTCTTGGCTTATTTTATTCGTTTAAATTAAAAAAAAATTTGCATTAATAATTGATTGTTAAAAATTATAATTGAGAGTGGGAGAAAGAGATTTTTATATGAGGATATCTAATAGTTGAACCCATTCATGTCAAAATTTTTTAATCGAAATTTGACCTCGTTAATATTAAGCGCGAATCTCTCAAGTGGCGCGACACGCATTGCTGGGTATTTTTCAAAAAAAAACGAGCAAATAGGCGATTTATAATGATCGCGCTACGCGACGAAATGAACGCATTCGTTAATTGGATTATAAACCTTACCTATTATTCTCTTTTTTTTTGATAAATTACCCAACGATGCGTGTCGCGTCGCTTACGCGATTCGCGCTTACTTTTAAAAAAACCGAGATTTCACATTGATTTTGCTAAGCTCGGACCCATGGTTCCAAATTCATAAACTCTTTTGGATTTGGTAAAGGATCCCCTAGTAATTTTTCTAACCACTCTATATTTTCTTTTATTTAGTCCTAGTGGATCATTTGTCCAACGAAATCATCGATGCCCGATATCAGAATACTGATAATTTCAGATACCTCATGTCCAATGTATCGCCCGTCAAGTGAGTTTATATATAATATTTATCTTCTCACTATTATTAGTGCGATCGAAGGAGGGGGGGGGTAGCACCATTTGCTTCCATTATCTTTCAGAGGGTCGAAAAAATATTTTTATCCTAAAATTAAGTTGAGTTTAACATTTTGCATTGTTAAATTGTAATTAGGAAACTATAATTATAAATTCCGATAAAGAATGATGAATGTCATTATAGGGTTGACCAAAAAATCGCGATTTTTTTAAAATAAATAAAAAATTTTCACGATTTTTTTTTTGATTTAAATCAAATGTATAATTAAATAAATTTTACTATATACCCTATAGGAAAATAACTTTTTTTTTCGTAAAATAATTTAAGTAACATGCATTCTTTTTATTTTACTAAACATCTTCTTTTTTTTTCCTCCATGTGAAATTTACGCGTAAAAAAGTCGTTATAAAATTATATTTTGATGCTTATAAATGTTTAATTATAAACTAATTAATATTCGTACGTTACACAGTATCCGAATCAAAGTACCAACAAAAAATTGTTATATTATTTTGAAGCATCATAGTGCGCACAAAGGCAGCGTTTCAACGCAGCCTTCCAAAACGCGAATACAAAAAACGTAAACACAGCTATGTTTAAATAGAAATTTAAACGTTAATTTTTATTTTTTTAATTACGAAACGTCTAAATTTATAACAAAAAAATGATGTCCAATTTAAACGAACCCATTTGAAATGCATTATGTGCATTTTGAAGCGCTGCGTTGAAACGTTCAATTTGTGCGCACTATGACCTGTTACGACGACACGTTCATATAAAATATAGTTAAATGTGGTATAATTAAAATATTCGAAAATAATAATAATATTTATTTCAAATCAATTTTGCTTTAATCGTGTCGACTAGTTTCTTTCATACGATTTTTTTTTTAAATGCGTGAGATTATTTAAATACAGTAAAACCTCTAAGCGAGGTAACCATACCATCCAAGTAACCGATTTGAGAGGGGGGAGATAAGGTTGTTTGCAGGCAGACCTTAAGTTCCACTTTCGCATTTACTCTTAACTGTCTTTTTTTTATCTCAAATAATTATAAATTTCAATGTTGCATATCATATTTAACCTACCCCCCCCCTTCCCCTCATCTCGTTTTGAAGAAATAGTTATCAACCGCATCGCAACATTATCTACCCGCGCGATAAATTCGATAACCACAGCGGAAGCCTCCGTTTAAGTTACGCGTCTCAGAATCCGAACTTGAACTCGTCGCAAACTAAACCGCATATCCAACATTACCTAACTAACGGCGATAATATTGATATCAACAAAAATATAATTTCCTGCCAGGATAGCTCGACCCACGTTGTTAATGGTAAAATATTCGGTAACCGACTGCAAAATTCGATGACTTATAGACCAACCCCCCTCGTTAATTGCAATAAATTTGCCGATATCCGTAAATTCATTTTTATTATTATTTTTGAAATGAAAATTGTATAAGAAATGGTTTCTCCTTTTTTTTGGATTAAGATTATAACAAAGTAAACTGTTTTAAAGTAATGTTCAGCGGGAACAAAGGGTGGGAATGTCAATTCGTTAAAGTTACATTAGTTAGTTACGTTTTTACTTTAAAATTAGTTACAAATTATATTTATAGCACTTGGTACATAACTGGTTAGAGTTACATGTTTATGTAGAAATTGGTCAATATGATACCTAGAATTATTTGGGGGTCTTACTCTTACCTTTAAGTTTGAAATGGCGAAAAATTTTATTTCCCGATATTCAAGAGAATTATTATAAAACGCTTGGCCACTTTTTTTTAAAAAGGAGAGGCCCGCAAAATTTTAAAATCATTATAAAACAATGTTTTAACATAGTGAACGCATTAAATAGATTTCCGGGTTATTCTTAATCAAATCGTACAAAAAGGCCCGAAAATTATTTATGGGGGGGGGCTATAATTAAGAGACCTTTATGATTGGGATGATATGGGTCTAATATTATATTTTATGGCAGGCCTGGGTTAAGGGGCTTAGACCTAGAAAAATTTTTAAATTTAGTTTAGTTTATTTAAAAAAACAGTTTGCTAACTTAAGGAAAATATTGCAATTTTTTTCTTCTGATAATAAATTTCAGTATTGTAAAACAAAATGGTTTGCCTGTATTACACTTAAATATTGTTTTTTTTTTCATTTAAATTCAATAAATTAAATTTTTGAATATTGGGGCTTGGGTAGAGTTTGCGATAAAATTTTTGGAACTTATTATAGGCTTGGGCCGAGCCTCTGGTTAAATAATTTTTTTACTGCGGATCTGGCCCAACTATGATCAAAATATTTGCGGTCCATGAAAATCTCTGATTTAGAAACAACTACAAAAAATTGTTTTTGATTTTTTTCAAAATATGTATCTAAGCGTTAATGTGTCCCGTCAACGTGTTTTTTTAATTTTCAACTTTAAAATCATTTTTAGAGCGCCTTTTTTGTTTTTTAAAATTTTTTAAAAATTTGATTTAATTCGGAAAATGAATTTCGGCATGTTCATAAAAACCTACTCGGTTAATATTTTTTAAGGGGAAAATTTGCCATGAAATTATTTGTTCTTCCGCAGATGTTTTATGTCAATCATAAATCTCTCGAAATTTATCGATCGGCAACACTTGTCCGAATTTTATTAGGAATATAGTATTCTTAAATATGACAGAAATCTCGGGAAAAGTCAAACAAAAAAATTGGGCTTTAAAAAATGATTTAAATTTGAAAAAGACGTTGGAACGCTGTATATGTGTATTATATAAATTTTTTAAAAAAAAGGTGACAATCGCGTCAACGTTAGGAACTACGCCCACTTTTCGCCTCCCGCTCTCACTAACGGCTCCCGCAATCGGCAACAATTTAGCCCTTCAAAAAATATCGATAAAAATCACCGATTTTTTAAGTTCGATAAACTCGTTTCCCATCACGACCCCAAACACTTATCCCCTTAGTGAAAGAGGCCTGGAATAATGAATCTCGAATCTACTACAATTTATTTATTTATTTTTAAAAAAAAATGTATATAGTATACAATATGTATATCTATCTAAAACGTTTATATATCTACCTAACCAAATATAGACCATAGAAAAATTGAACACTTTTATCATTTTCTAAATATAATATGTCGCGCATTTACAACTTTTAAAACAGAATTCCTATTAAATCTTTATAATTAGATAAATTTTTTTTTATAAGTTATTTTTTTCTTCCTCTTTCCTTAAATATAAATATTCGATAGAGTAAACTAATTGCATTTGTTTTTTACCGGAAGCATTAACTTTTACATTACATTTTAGACACTTAATTACATCTCTTTTCAAGTACTATTTTTAAAGTATTAAATTATTTTTTTTATTATTAAATAAGATGATAATTAGATTTTATACCAAGCAAAAAACAAAAAACTATAATAAATATAAAATATATTCAAATTAATTTATGCATTATTTTTATAATATTTTTTATTTAAAAGACTTTATATATGTATGTAATCTCGGAAGTTATGATTTTAATCTGAACGATTTTGATACAATAAATTAATTTTTTAAAAAATTCATTTATTTCCCCATTTGTTATAGAATTCAAAAAAAAATTAACATAAATTTAATGGTTATATTTTTTAAAAAAAAATCTAAATTACCGTTTAGTTTATACTTATATACAAATATTTTTAAACCATAAATAATATAAAATATATTTTAAAGTATTATTATAAAATAATAATAATAATATTTATATTATAATTTTATAACTTATATTAATAATTCGAGAAAATAAATAAATTTTTTTTTTCAAAAAAAAACTCACTTAATTTACTCAAAAACAAATTAGCAAACATTTAAGTTTCCATTTTAAAATTTTGGTTTAAACTAAGAACCAACGCGGTTAATGATGCTTACTACCTTAAGGTACTACCTATCAAATTTGAATTTTGTTTATTTTTTATTTGGATAGGCACTACCAAATATATTTATAATATATATTTGAAAAATCGTGATTTTAGGAAAGCCTCTATGGCCTAGTAGGCAAGAGCTTCGCTTCCTGATCCCATTGTCGCGGGTTCGAATCCCGGGAATGGTCATGTTTTTTTCTTAATCTAACTTGCGTGGTTCTATCCTTGGGGGGATGTTATGTAGGAGGCTGGACTCGACCACGTGATTCCGTTATAATATATTAAATAATAAGGGTCTTATTACATTTTAATAAATTTTTGATCGGTATTTAGCAAATTAGGTTGGTATTTAGAATATTTCCATACATTCACTTGGTAGTAAGCATCATTAACCAACGCCCAAAAATGTGAAACTTGATTTAGCAGCTGATTACGAAGTGTAATTAGCGTTTTAATAAAAGAAATCTTTCATATAACCCTTTGGTATCTTTCATTATAAAAATAAGATAAAATTGTATCCCACCCCCAAATAATAGAATTTTTTAATAAGAGATCTCCTAATTTAATTTTTCCACCCGCTAAGGTATTTTCAAAAAATACTCGAGGTTTCGCTACAAAGGATAGGTACTACTTTTTTTTCCACAACGGTACGCGGTACGAAATTTTTCTGAAATTGTTAATGCAGTGTTGATTCTTTGTTATATATAAGTATAGTATATTTATCTATATATATTTTAAAAAATAGAATATTATATATAATGGCTACCTGGCATTATGCTTAATTAGGCAATATGTATAACATTTTATAAATGCCTGAAAATCTATAGGGTTGTTAGGTATTTTACCATGTTAGAATACAGTTCAAGCAAAAAATGATTTAAAGTTGGAAAATGGTGAAATAATTTTGAAGATCAGATTTTTTCCAGTAAGATGAGAATGCTGGGGTAACAAGAAAGGATAAGGTGCGAAGTACAATACTAGAAAGTTTGAAAGGTAGTGCCCATTAAGACTAAGATATTGGTAAACAGACTTAGGTGGTATGGGCACACAATGAGAAGGCCTATAAACTACATAGGAAATAAGGTTGAGAGTTTGGAAATGATGGGCAAACGTAAAAAAGGAAGGCCAAAACTTCAATGGAGCCATAAAGTTAGAGCCAATATGAAGAAGTATAAATTAGATAAAAGAGATAGTATGAATAACATAAATTGGAGACAGATATTGAAGGAGCTTACCACCAGAAAAGGTGAAAGCTAAAGAGAAAAAAAAATATGTAGAATACTTATCTATCCTATCCTAATCCTTTTGAGTTATTTTTTTTAAATTTATATATAAATAAAGATTATATGGATCGGGCTTATTAATCAGCGCAAATACACGTATTGCCAGACTATGCACATTGCCGATAACTTGTATGTCATGACTTACGCAATTTCCATCTGATTGGGCTCCGTATTTTTTTCCTATTGACACAAACTCTTCATATTCGATAAAGATTCTATATAGATGTATTCATGTATTTTTTTTAATACTTGCACATTTTGTAAGAAAAACAGTTATTGCTGGTTCATTGCTTGTAGTATCCTTACAAACGTTTAGAACTGTGCTGCAGATCATCATTTAAACTCTGGGGGGAAAAAATGATTTGATATTATTTTTACCTAAAAAATATATAAATCTACTTGATAGCTTATGCTGCTTGATATATGTAGTATTACGACTAATTGTATTATCAGCTCGAGTTCTCCTTCTTAAGATATTTTTTTTGAAAATATATATATCAAAATATAATTTAATTAATATGTTAAATTTTAAGTGAGCCTGAATATCACCGCTTTCCCTTCCTTCACTCAGGGCTTCTAACCAGAAAGCTTCCACGGGTCTCTCGTGCAGTTCCTGAAGCTAGATAAAATTTTGATCCGTCCGGGTTCAGAAATATAAATCAATTTTCTTAAACATTTAGACCGTTCAATTAACAGGATTATTGATGATGATACTCGATATTTTTAAAAAAGCGCATGGTTAATAACGAGACATTACATATGAAACAAAAAAAAATTGAATTCAAAATATAATTTCAAGATATCTATTTATCAGAGTTGTTAAAAGATACTTAATTTTTAAATGGATCTAGATACAGATACAACGTCTAAAATAATATCTAGATGCAGATTATTTAATCAAAAATCTATCTAGATACAGATACCACATTTTTATATCTAGATCCTTTAACAACTCTGCTATTTATAAAAAAATTTATGATCGCATTCGCTTGGAATACCTGTCTTATGAAATTTAGACAATTACGATGTTAACCTTTAGAATCATTTATAATTTATATGGAAAAATCTAATATAAATTATTCTAAGTTTAAAAGTTAGTAGAAAAATGTGCAGAATAAGTCAGAGTTCCTCTATACTTCAACAAGCAAAATAAAATATAAAGGGATTCAATTGGTGTTGTTTAAACGACTCGATTCGAGCCGATTGTTAAAAATGGGCCAACTCAATAATTTATTCAGGAATAATAATACACAAAAGCCTGAAAATTTTGCTCATAGATGTCACAAAAGGGTCTAGAAATCAATTAACGAAATCTCGGGGCTTTTGGCGATATTTCTTCTGGCTATAAATTCTAATTAGCCGTTTTAACAACACTAGATTCGATTATAAAAATGACTATACAGATGATGTATATCCACGAGGTTACCATCCCGTTTAAATAAATTACCTTAAACCCGAACCGAACCCATTTTTAAACCTTAAATTGGTTGGCGGAAGTGGAGGAAAAAATATTCGGATCTTAACTCGAATTCCTTAGAACCGAGTTTTAATTTTATTTTTTTTTAAAGCAAAATTTAAAAATAGTGTTTTATTTCATTATCATCTAGCGTTTCCTTTGTAAACATTTGATACGAGAAAACCACTTCCTTTTCAAATTATAATAGTCTAAAATGATTTATAAATAAAGAGAAGAAAGAAAAGTTTTTTTAAAAAAAAATACACTAAATACATTTTTGTAAAATAAATGAATATATTAATGTTTCACATGGGATATGGGAATCTTTTGGGATTCGGTATCTCAATAATCTGATTTGGCCGGATGTTCTGGCATGTGTGAGTGTGCGCATTGTGAATTTCGGACAATTCAGCCGGAAACTATCCGTCAAATCAGATTTTTCCTACCCCCCCCCCTCCCTTCTAAGTACTGTTTTAAATTGAAAGAGCTGGATCTCCATGGAATTCGTTCGTAGTCCTATTTTCGACATTTTATGAATAGTTATTACGTTACGTACAATCCGTGTCGGTAAAATAGCCACATACTAAAAAAAATTATTTCTATTTGTTTTAAGTAAAATAAATTTATATATATTTGAGGGCTGATGTAGGTTAGTGGAAAATAAAATATGTTAGACATGAGCCAAGGCCTGATATTGGCTAGGGAGTACGTTTTAAAAATTTCTTGTTTTTTTTAATTTTTTTTTTTGTAAAGAAAAGATTTTCTATCTAATTTTCCTAAATCGAGTGTGTTGCAATATGACCTGCGGACTCACGCCCCCCCCCCCCAGCTTACCATTTTTTAGACGATTTTACCTCTCCCACCAATTTTTGACGGCGTGGTGTTTTTATAAATATCTTCAATACAAAAAAACTTGTATACTAGCTTCAATTTCATTTTATAATTATTACAATGGTAGCTATGATATAGCCTATTATATAAATACACCCTACATAAACATCGAATTCATTCATTCGTTTTTAATTGTTTTATAGATTTAAATGAACGCATTATGAAATTTATCTTCCATTTTTTTTTAACGAACGTATTATCTTTTCAAGCCGAGAGTAAACTAACCGAACAAACTTTTTTTTTACTACGTAATATTTAATCTATTTATTTTTTTATTACAATTTTCAAAATTTTAACTTAATTTTAATTCACATTATTTTACCTTCTCAAGTGTAAATGAAACACTCTATCTTATAAAATTACTTAAGCTATATGTAATAGACTTCTAATCTAATTGTCGAATAGTTTTAAAATTTTTCAAAAGACCTTAAGGGATAACTTCTAAGTATCAATATAAAAATTGGATCTTTTCTAAAATTACTAAAATGAACGACGAACACTTACGAATTCTTTAAAAAAAAAAATTCTTAAACCTCTCCCAAAAATACTTATGTATGGGTTAAAGGTAGTGTTGTTAAACGGCTAACTAAGCATTTTAGCCGGAAAAATATTGTCTAAGCCTCGAGATCTGGGTTAATAGGTGTTTTCAAACCTTTGTGCAATCTATGGGCAAAATCTTAAGACCTGCATAATATTTTTCTGGATAAAATATTGAGTTAACCGTTCTTAAAAATCGCACCGAAACGAGCCGTTTAACAA